CATCGATGTTCTGTAAACATCGATGTTTTGTATTCGATGTTTTTACCATCGATGTTGATGACACCAGATATCGATGTTACCACCATTGATGTTTTTCTAAAACATTGATCAATATCCTGTTCTGAGATTCTCTTAGGCTGAGTTCGGCCCCGGCCTTACACTCGGTAAACTCCAACCGCGCTCGAAACGATCAGATCCTGTTCGTTTTACCTCTCAGAGTGTTCTTTTTTGCGTTCGGCTTATGGACGAGTATGACATCACTATATCCATGCTCATACCGTTCAAGCCGAACTCAGCCTTAGAACTAGAAGGCTCTGGCGCTCCTTGGAAATTTTGCATCTTTTTTTATTTGGTGTTCTTAACGAAGACAAACGTATTTGTGAAACTGTTCGGAGAGCGCCCGGGAGTCTTTCATGCGGCCCGTGAGGGTATTTAGAGCAAATTTGGCACACCGAAGTGTGTTGAACTCGAGGATCAACAACACTTAATTTCTTCTGTTAGAACAGACCGAAAATCAAGTTTTCTACATTCAAAATCGACGAAAAAATTAACTCACTAGCACAGCTTGAATCGCGAGCATTCCATCGAGGTTTGCGGGTGACGTCATCACTCGCGAAAAATGGACTATTTTCATTTGCCAACATCAAGCATCGATATTTGATAAACATCGATGTTTGGTAGTCGATATTTTCATGCCATCGATGTTGACTTTCGATGTTACCGGTTTCTGTAGAAATCACAAACCAGTAAGAGCGAATTTCATTGGTTGAAAACAGTCAGAAAACTAGTTTCAACCAATAACCTTTTTCACGTGTTTCCGGTTTAACAAACCGCAACATACCGCTCAAATTCGAGTGGTAGGTATCCATCACGTCACTTTGTAACCGGGTTAGAAAACGGTATGTCATTTGTCTAGCCGTTTTGTAACCCGGTTAGTTAAACCGGAGCCACGTGAAAAGAACTAATGAAAATCACTCTGGCTAGTTTGTGATTTTTGCAGAAACAGACGTGCGCAGAGATTCTAAAATCACGATTCGACACACGACGACTCGACAACGATACCGGCCTTGTCGTGTCGAAAGGTATACTTCCAATGAGATTTCTAACCTAGAATCGTCGGAAAAATCGTCTCGTTGTCGAATCGTGATTTAGAATCCCCGACCTGAATTTTGGGCTGGGTTCCGTTTCCAACCTTGGTTACGGTTACACGTTCCGTAATGTCTGCTGCCTGAAAACCCGTTCATTACGGAACGCGGTTCCTGAAAATGGTTATGTCAAACATATCACCACAGCAACCACTTGTCAACCGAAGTTGTACGACCGGTTAAACCCAGGTTTGGCAACGGAACCCACTCTTAAGGTGCTCCACACCCGTAGCTTTACACTCTGGTGCTCCAAACAACTGTTGTTTTACTGGAACGCACCCTACTTAAGCGTCGTGTTCTTGATGCACCCATAAAATTGTAGGTGCTTGAGAGGGCAGGGGAGAGGAAAAACGAACAGTTAAGTTGCGCGAAACTCTGGAGCACTGGAACGCCTATAAACAGCCCGGGCGCTCTAGAGCAGCTCAGGAGTACTTAAAGTGCGTCACTGGAAAGCGACTATGGTTTAGCACCATTGTCGACGTTATAACAAAGTCGTCAGCAGTTTGCGCCAGCGGTCGTTTTCAAAGGACGATGCGTACTTACTTCAGATGAGATTTTTAAAAATCCACGATTTTAATGACATTTTGGTATGTTTCTATGACTGGTTTCCGAAATAAAGTGGCGGGTATGGGGCTACCCAAAAAGCTGAATGAATAGAAATTCTTTTACAAAAGGTAAATTTCAATACCTACAAAAAGTGATAAAGACTACGTTTATTTCACGCATTGTATCCGTATCCGGATACTAAGTGAATTGGATTAGGGTGATATTTTCACAAAAACCCTTTTTTTTATGAATCGCAATTATTATTGTTATCCCCTTGAAATTTAAATCACCCTCAAAGTAATTTGCAAGTCAAATGAGGTTCCCTAAACGGCGGTGTATCTTGGTACTGCCTATAACTTCCAATACCATTTGTGCCCGAGACTAGGGTGAATATGTCCATATTTTCATGAAAATCATTTTTTTCATGGATCACAAATATCGCAATAATTTGTTTTACCCCTTTAAACCACCCCGAAAGTACTTTGCAAATCAAGTGAGGTTCCAAACACTTTTTTCGATGAATCACAATTATTAGTTTTACCCCCTTAAACCACCCTCAAAGTAATTTGAAAGTCTGTTTAGGGACCCTAGGCGGTGTATTTTGGTACTGCCTATAACTTCCAGTACCATTTGCGCCCGTGACTGGGGTGAAAATATTCATATTTTCATAAAAACCCTTTTTTTCATGGATCGCAATAATTAGTTTTACCCCTTTAAACCACCCCCAAAGTAATTTGCAAGTCAAGTGAGATTCCCTAAACGATGTATATTGGTATACTGTCTATAACTTCCAGTACCATTTGTACCCGAGACTAGGGTGGAAATGTCCATATTTTCACAAAAACCGTTTTTTCGATTAATCGCAATTATTAGTTTTAACCCCTCAGAGTAATTTGCAATTCCAATGAGGTTCCTTAAATGGTGTATATTGGTACTGCCTATAACTTCCAGTACCATTTGTGCCCGAGACTAGGGTGGAATGTCCATATTTTCGCAAAAACTCTTTTTTCGATGAATCGCAATTATTAGTTTTACCCCCTTATAAACCAGCCTCGAAGTAATTTGCAAGTCAAATGATGTCCTCTAAATGGTGTAAGTTTATTGGTATTGCCTATAACTTCCAGTACCATTTGCGCCCGAGACTAGGGTGCAAATGTTCATATCATATTATTTTATTTTAGTTTAACTTATGTTGAACGTCCTTTTTTTGAATAAAAAGTATGAATTAAATAGGATTATATTTTTTGAGTAGGTACCCCCTGTAGATAGAAATTAGAGAGTTCTTGTGCTCCCCAGACGCTACGCTAATACGGTACCGCTAACAATACGGTATTTTACATGGTATTTCATAGTTCCCGGACACGAAGACATAAAAATCCTCTAATCCCTTATTCTGTTTACATTTTGACAGCTAAGTTGAGTGTTGAGTGATCTAACCCAACTTTTTTTTACTTGTTTTCTTAACTTATTATTTATCCTGAAGATTCTGAGTTTAATTAATGCTCCCTTGGTGTTTTTTATGGAGGAATTATTAGAAGTTGCTGTTCTTGCAGACGTAAATGGAGCGTAAACTAATTTTCACATAGCATAACGTTACGGTAAGGCATCCGATAAGTCCCGTTAGATATCGGGCTCCGCTAATGCTAGAATATCGTAAAAACTGTCATACTTGTCAAATAGCGTTACGGTATTTGAAATTTGGACAGCACGAGAACTCTCTAATATCTCCTGACATCTACCATGGCCAATAAAAATAAGATACAATTAATTTAAACACTTTTTGTATTAAAGTTTACCTTTTGTGCAAGAATTTCTATTTACTCGGATTTTTGGGTAGCCACATTATATACCCGCCACTGTATTTCGAAAACCAGTTATAGGGTCATCTTGGGCCCATGAGAACTTTTGATCATAAGATCGAGATCTACAATATACCAAAATTTCATCAAAATCGTGGATTTTTTGAAATTCCATTGAAAGTGTGCATCATTCACTTTATGATGAAAAATATTAATTCTGATTATAGGCGAAGAGGAAGATGCAATGATGCAAACGAGATATGGAAAAGAGTTGTTTTAGAATAATAATGACTGTTGTGAAACCAAGTTTGCATAAAGCAAAAGCCCGCGGAATCATAACCGTGGAGCAAATTCCCTACGTGAAAACGAGAAACGACACGCTGCCTACGTATCACTGTTACTTTGGCATGACAGGGTGGCTTGAGATTTAAACTACGCAGGCCTTATGAGGATATGCTATCCTGTAGTAGTAGTGTGTAGTATCCTTGTAGGAAACTGAGGTCCAAAAGTAACATCTTCTCCAGGAAGCCACATCTTTATTTTTGGTTGAGGAACGATGATCAGGAGCATTAACCCTCAGATCTGACTGGATTTAACCCATTTCCCAAAATTATAAATCACAAAAAAAAATTATACTTGATGCTTGCTGTTACAGAATAGGGCCCAGATTCTCAACCTCTAGTCGCAACCTATCGACCCCGATTTCCCATTGCCTTTCCACAAAGAGTCGGAACGTTACGTTGTTTCAGTCGGGCTTCAGCACTCAGGTGCTGGTGCAACAAAGGGCGCGTTTGGGTTCACGCTCGGTGCACTCAGAGCATGCACTTTTGTCTTTTTCCGTTATTTTTGAAGCTCCGACGACGCTTGATTGGGTTTGGTTTGACATATTTTGAGCGCTCAAAGCGAGCTCGATAAACTCCGAGTTTGTGGAGTGGGCAGCTGGAGCGTGCATGCGCAAATTATTAATCTGTCTGTATAACCTAACCTATTTTTCATGATAAGATAAATAAACAATCCTGAATTTTAACATATACTTGTTAGGTGAATAGTTTTAGCTATTTTGTTTAAATGTAAATAATCCAATAACTAGTAAATTCTGCATAATTGTTTCCTCTCAATTAAATTTTCTCGATAGTCCTCATTCCTCATCACTGGTATTATTGCAGCTTCAGAGTGTTTAGGTCCGTTTTATTGTTTATGTAGCACGACATATTTTGCAGAATACAAAAGAAAATGGGGCTGTTTGAAAATTATCGACTAAAATGCAAAACAAACAAGAAAACTCTGGTGCAAATGTGGAATGCGGGCTCGGACTCCACAAAATATTAAATATATATGCTAAGAAAAATAAACAATAATCAGCTGATCGCTCAACCCAGCATTTTTGCACCAGTTTATTTGGCTTGACACGGTGTACTCCCTGTGACGTCACGATACTCCGTAATCGCTCTGCTCGCTCCGCTGAGCGTCAACCCAAACACTTTTCGAAAGGAATACGTGCGTAACGCCCTGGAGCTGTTCCGGAGCTCTTCCTAGGTGTGAAAAGAATACATACAACTATTGAAAGCGTGTTAAAACGTGTAATTTGACCAGCATATTGTGTAATTTCACAAATTCAGATCGACAACACTGGTTCTCAATCAAACACGGATCCATATCACTTATTACTTCCGAAAACCCCTATAAATTACAATCAGCTGATTTTACCAAAAGTAAGGTTACCTACATGTCATCAAAAAAAACTATAAACGTAAACTTATCACTTATCAGCACAAAATCCAAAAATGAAGCCTTCTCTGACCTTCATAGGTTCGGGAATTTTTTTTCTACTGATAGCCAGATCGATTTGGAGCCTCTATTCGATATGGCAATCGCCAGAATGTAACAATTTAATTCAAGAAACTTGCTATCATTCTTTTTTGAACGAAAACCCGAAACTCGATTTGATGGTTTACGTTTCCGACAACTCGAAGAGCGGAAAGTTCGAGTCGATATTGAATTTGAAAGAGTTAGACTATAGGACGCCCTTTGAAAAGTAAATACGATTTTGTAGATTTGGCTTTTTTTTTGCCAAAATCTACAACTTTGACACGTCATAATAATAGTAATATTTTTAAGGGACATAACTATCGAGATACCAAAAGCTGTACGCAACAATGGCTCACTATTTATTCATAACTTAATTGTTCCCAGTGAGCATGCTAAGAAATTCTCAGTTAATGATTTAAAGGGTCTTTTAAATGCTAAAGAAGCTACCTATGTTAAAGGTAGGCTTACGAAATTTGCCATTCCAAAAAGTGGAGCCTTCAATTTATTAAAGGAAGAGGGAGAAATGAAAAAAGATTACAAACCGGTAACACATTTGAGATCTAAATATGCTATTACACTATGTACTGAAGAATTACATCTACCTCATAGGTAAGTTTTTATATTTAATTTCCATAACAAAATTCATATTCTATCACTCATAAATAATATACTCTTAAAGTAAAACTTTGTTACAAGTACACGCACTTGTAGAAAAAAAAAATGAAAGGTAAGTGAACAAAATATACAAACTAAAAAATGCTTTCAAAGTTTAGGCTGGTACCATTTAATTTCACTGCCTAAGCATCCAGTTACTAACTGAAAATGAGTAGGACTAAATTTACTAGACACCACAATGTCCCTATGATAATCATTCATTTCTAGTATCGTTAGCAATTGCTGAGGTTTTGCTGGAACACAATCAGAAATTTCTTGACAAGTCTCACTAAAACCCAGCAGTCTGAAACCTTTATCATATGGCGAGCAAATTACTCTTCCATCTGATGAAAATGTTAGCCCTTTTATAAAACCCTTGCCAACATTTCTCTCTTTGGCATAATGCGTCATTCTTGGTATGTTTTTGATTATTTTATTTTTTTCGTTGGGATGGCGCTTAAAATAGGACTTGAAAGAAGGATTTGGCCCAATTAGGCCACTGTTTACAACACTCAATGAAGTGTTTGCATCATTGCCAGGAAGCTCTTCAACAGTAATCAAATTCATCCACAAATCTGCTACAGTTTGAATGGGCCGTCCTTCAGGTGTTCCTTCGAGTTCATTAATAGCATCAACTTCTTCATCCTCATCTTCCTCCTCACCATACATAAAAGCATCTTCATATTCTTTTGGATCTCGAGTTTGGATGTCATGCACTGCAGTCCATTCTTCATTCTCTTCATCGTTCAAGTTTCTAGACACAGCTGACCATCCATGGGGATGAATTTGTAATGAACTAATAACATCAGCATTGTTAGGAAAATCGTCAATAAATTCAATCCTATTTCTGGTTTTGGATTGGCTAAATAGGTGATTGAATGTGGTAGCAATTGGAAAGCATTGCTCACTAGTTTGCATAAGTCTATACAAGTTGGGTCTGAACCGTTGTAAATCAGTAGCTAACGATAAAAGGTTAAGATTATGGATAATTACCATAAATCCTGACGTAGTAGAGATAATCATTTTAGTCCCATCAGGGGTGAGTTTCATTCTCATAAGGCCATTCATTAAAAACACTTTTTCAAACAACATGTTATTTTCTGTTTGTTCTTTTAAATTCCAAGCATAAACTGTTCCATCAAATGCAGAAGTTACCATGACTTGGTCTTGGGTTGACCACTCAATATTTTTTACCCAACTAGAATGTCCTTGCAATGTTCCGAGTTGAAGATTTCAGATTTCTTATGTCCCACACTTTAATTAATGTATCATCTGAGCCAGTAGCAAATGTAACATTGTCTAGAAACTTGACACAATTAACACAATTCAAGTGAGCATCTTCAACAGTTTTGATATGTTTTTGATTGCCCGAATCGTAAATTAATACTTGTTTACCTTCGCAAGCGGCTACCAGTAGCTTTCCGTCCAAACTGTACTCCAAGTTAAAAATTCCACCCCAATAATGGTCGAATTTTTTTGTGTTTGTACTTTCTATCACTTCAAATGAATTGTAAATGGAACCTACCAGTGTATCAGTAAAACCTATGGGTTTTTTGTCAGCCCCCAAAGATCTGGTCCAAATAATTTGGGGTACATGAGCATACTGTGGCAGTTGCGATGGGACTCTTGTGGGGACACATTTATCGACATGGTCACAATTATGGAAACTCATTTTTGAACATTTAAATTGGAAAGTTTTTCCACTACCACGCAATTATTGCTAATTTGTATTTAATTGTTCCGTTGTTTTGTTTACTTTTTACGCACTACAGACAACACTAGAGCAGGAACAGATAATCTAATAATATAAATAAGTATTTAATTATTATTTACTTTCTAATGACAAAAAAATGACATGACGTAAGAGGCATTTCATAGCGATTTCGATTTGACTACATTAGAACTGGTAGTAAGAATTGATCCAGAACTGATTTTGGTCGCAATGCCCCAGAGTAGCTATAAGAACACATGCAATTTTGCTCTTGTTTACTCAAAAAATATTCTTTTTGAGGTGCAATTATTGGAGTAAGTTCCATTTTTAGGTGAGTTTGGAATGGTAGAAAGTGTCGACACTTTTACACTATTGACACTGTGGCGTTCGTTGAATTGGTAGGAGTAAGTTTGGTGTACACTTTAATTTGCGTTTAGAAATAATTTGGTGTCCGAATGATGTGAAGATAGAGGGACACCGTTTACTCGGTATAAAATGACGGTGCATTCGGTGTTGCATCGCCGCTTACACCTTCATCACGTGATATAACACTGCACTACACGAACACTGCACTAAAATCCCATTCCGAACTTATGTATACTCAAACGCATACGGGGTAACTAAGCCCGGTATTCATATACGGGTGCTTGGCTCAAGCTTCGATTTTTGACAGTTGTGAACATCATTCCGTGCTGTTTGGAAACGTAAAAATGGCACCAAAGTCGTACTTGAACCAAGACGCAACCTTGAGCATCGACTACGAATACGGGCCTAACTTTTACTTACTCTAAATTTCAATATCCGAACGGCCAGAATCGGCACGGAATCACTCGGAGTCGGAGTAAATTTTTTGTTACTATTTGCCCTCGGAGTAAAAATATCCTTCAATATATACCTACTCCAACTACTCGTAAGTTTCAAGCCAAACAATGGACTCTCAATATATTTTTTTTTTCGCGAATAAATTAGAGTTCGAAAACTATCGATTATTATCGATAGTTTGTTGTTTGATAATCGATAGTTTTCGAGAATATGAGAATTCTTTTTTATAAATAATTATTTGGAAAAGATATTCCAGTCGAATTTATATAAAATAGTGATCTGGGCTGGGACACGACAAGTATCGCTGAATCTGTTTTTATTCGATAAACTTAATTTTCAATTATAATCGTTCACTTTTCATAAAACTGTTCAAAAGTGGTTTGTTTATTGTAAACATAAACCAAACGGTCCTTAATCGACTTGCACTGATTCCACACTAGTTTTCTGGGCTGGGATCACGACAAGAAGAATACTACTTTCATGACGTCACCCACGACCTATTTATTGCGTACAGTACAAACGAATAATTTTGGTAGTATTCTCCTTGTCGTGATCCCAACCCTATTTTGGAAACTATTTGCACTAATTGTACTAAATTTAGTAAATGGTGTTCTAATTGCACCAACTTTGCACCAATAACTCTGATATTGAACTTATTGCACTTTCTCAAATAACTGCACTATTTGCACTCACTGCAATGCCAAAGTTCCTGCAATGCGTTCTTTTTAATGTATGATTTACCCAGATAACTTCATCTCACTTCATTTCAAAGTGAGATGAGACGAACCGTAGAAAGAATAAACCAAACGGTCCTGAATCGACTTGCACTGATTCCACACTAGTTTTCTGGGCTGGGATCACGACAAGTAGAATACTACTTTCATGACGTCACCCACGACCTATTTATTGCGTACAGTACAAACGATGATGATTGTTGCTATGCAACCTGACGTCATGGAAATATAATTTTGGTAGAATTCTCCTTGTCGTGATCCCAAACCGATTTTGGAAACTATTTGCACTAATTGTACTTTCTGCACTAAATTTAGTAAATGGTGTTCTAATTGCACCAACTTTGCACCAATAACTCTGATATTGAACTTATTGCACTTTCTCAAATAACTGCACTATTTGCACTCACTGCAATGCCAAAATTCCTGCAATGCGCTCTTTTTAATATATGATTTACCCAGATAACTTCATCTCACTTCATTTCAAAGTGAATTGAGACGCACCGTAGAAAGAACACATCTTATCGATAGTTTGCGATAGTGCTATTCGCCGCGTTCACCGGAACAAACATTAGTAAACGCTTTGCGATTCTTCTCCTGAACCTTCGTTGAATTTGTGTTGAAACCAAACATAACTGAATTTTCGCGACGAACTACTTCCATGATTTTCATGGACACAAACGCTTTCACGAGAAACCATGACGTCATATTGATCGTAGTTCGTCGGAAGCATGGACGCAGCTTCTAGCGAGCGTTCAAAGCGATGACGTCAGAAGAAGAACTATAGTTTGTCCTTGGATGAGCTACATTCGTCATTCGTCGCGAAAATTCGGTTCACGTTATACAAACGGTCACCATTTTTGCAAACATAATTCAAGGCTGAGTTCGGCATTGCACTCCACGGAGCGGAACGGTATGATCATGGATATCGTGACGTCATACGCGGTCATAAGCCCAACGCAAAAGAGAACACTCTGAGAGCTAAAACGAACAGGATCTTATCGTTTCGAGCGCGCTCAGAGTTTACAGAGTGTAAAACCGAACTCAGCCTAAGAGTATTTATAATCAACACTTGTGTTTTGTGTGAGGTGAGTACGAAATGATACAAAAGTGTCGACACTTTTTGCACTATTGACACTGTGGCGTTCGTTAATTGGTAGGAGTAAGTTTGCTGTACACTTTATTTGCGTTTGAAATATTTTGGAATTAACTTGGTGCCCGAATGGTGTAAAGATGGTCGGACACCGTTTACTCGGTACAAAATGATGGTGTATTCGGTGTTACACCTGCATCGCGTGATATAACCCTGCACTACACGAACACCGCACTAAAATCCCATTCCGAACTCAACTCTGGTGACATGACATTCAGAGGGCGACGGTGACGTTCTATCATTGAAAAGTTCTATGTTGAAAAGTTGACAGTTGTATCGTTCAGCAGAACCAAGAGTTTACCCCACATATTCTGTTGGTATTGTGAACTGTTTTCAATCCGTTTTGATTCTGGTGAACGTAGCCATTGATAGGATAGTTCTCGACCTCTAGATTAAGGTCTATATTGTAGGGTATTTCGTATTTGAATGCTTTTTGAATGCATTGTGTTATTCCGGATACGGACACTCTATACAGGGTGTCCCGAATAACTTGAAGTAGGTACATGGTAGAGGTGGGCCAATCTGCGATTTTAATGGAACTGTGACAAGACGTGACTGCTCCAGTCGTGTCACTGTGACAAATAGCAGTGATTTTTTGGAGCAGTTTTACCTTGGTTGACGGCCGTACTGCTAATATTATGGTAATGCTACGTCGCAACATGGCATAATCACAGTCATCAGTCACGGCCGAGAAAGATGTTCCAGTTTCTGGCCTGTCCTCTGCAATAGCAGTTTCTATTTGGCGAGACTGCGATGCGATTTTTAATATTATATTATTTCGTTCGCATCACTTAGCTCGAGTTTTGTCCGCGCTGCATCGGTCGGAACTTGAAGCAGGCAGTGACAAAATGTCACTGCTACTTGACTGGGACTGGAGCAGGCCGTGACTGTGACAGACAAGTAGCAGTGACAAAGTCACAGTTCGTGAAATCGCAACCCACCTCTAGTACATGGGGTAATTTGAATTAGAAAATACATACGCAATTTTTTCTTTTTTGCCCTGTATATCCGTTGCTACTCCGAGTTTAAAGAAATTGATGACAGATTATTTGTAGGTACTTCATTGCAGCACTTGTTCCCCATTTGATACACCCTGTTTCTTCAATGGTTTCCAAAATCTCCATGTACTTCCAGTTATTCCGGACATCCTGTATATTAATAGCCCTTTGGATAGCTCTGTTGGTGCTGATTTCAATGATATAGGTATAGATTTATCCCAAGAACACTTATCTCGGGAACGATTTTAAAGTTACGAGGGCGTTTAAATTAGAAAAAAGTTGCCATTTTTAAAGAATATTAAAGAAAAATATACTTTTGATTTTAAAGTAGGTCTCTAAAATCAATAGATCTTTAAATGTTTCATAAAATTGTTTTTGCTAATTTCCAAAAATCACCCTGTATTTGCGAAACTAATAGAAATTTGGCAACAACGAAAGTATATTTTTAATATTCTTCAAAAATGGCAACTTTTTTCTAATTTAAACGCCCTCGTAATTTCAACCGTTCCCGAGATAGCAATATCCCTATGAAATAGTTGGAACCCTGTATATCAAAAAAACGTATTCCCAAACATAATTTTGTTACAATCACTTTTTCTACATTTAAAATCGAAAGAAAAACAAGCACAACCTGAATCGCAAGCATCCCATCGAGGCCTGCGGGTGACGTCACCACTATAAGCTGTTATGCAATGATGACGTCACTCGCAGGCCTTGCCGACTCGAGAATTGGCGAACGTACGCCCTATGAGGATGAGCAATTCTTTACGATTCTTGGGTTTATCCCGAACAGTTTTCGGGAAAAAAGAATCTATGTTAGGCCCGGTTTATTCATTATTCATTTTCAGATAAACTTACTTATATGCAAGATAAATTTACCGTTCCGTAATTCTATTGGTCGGCAAATAACTCTCTAACCAATGGGATTCCTATTAAAACCGTCCAAATTGGACCGGACCACCCTGTACATATCGATATAAAAGAGTAATACAGGGTGTTTCTGAATAGTGGGATCAGACATTGAAATTTAATGAATGAATGATTAGTTTCAAAGATACAGAGGGTGTCAAAGTTTAAAAACAAAATTGTTTTTTTAACTCAAAAATCCCTTTCTCGATTTTCTTTAAACTGGGCAGGTTTGTTTGGAATTACAAAATGTGTTTCTTTTCCTTCGACATAGAGATTAATCTTAAATCTGCTCCTTTATCAGCTTAATTATCCCTATCGCTTCTCTTCTTTTCAATGAAGTGTAGCAAAACGCCCCAAGTACTCTATGTAATTAGTTAGATGGTAAATGGCGAGCGGTATATTGATGGTGTTTATTTACTTGGAGCTGCTACCTAGAATCTGTGGAAGGGTCTTTTTGCAAGAGAGAGAAACAAACTATTGAGGTGTACTAAATTATATTTTATTATACATAAAACCAAAATTTTTAATCAGCCAAATACCTTCCAATTCTGACAGCCTCATCTATTTCTATAAATTCAATTTACTTCACATCCGTTCAAAATGTTATTATTACGGACCACTGAAATATCCCTACTAAATAAAAAACGCCCTATTCCTACTATTCTTAATAACTTATAAGTTAACTCATTTCCACACTTCCGATTCATTCCTATTAACTACCCTTCACCTATTTCTCTAAATTCTTTAAAATTTCTATTTCCTTTACTGACTGCTTATGAAAAACCCAAAATAATTACCTATTTGTTTATTAATATAGGTATTACTAACTTATTTTTTTAAAACCATACAATAATTTCTACTTGAAAAATAAAACCCTTTACATTCAAAATTCATTTCATGAACAACAACTTTCCAATACTTTAAGACAACAATTCTATTTCATGTACATCAGTTTTCCTTTCAAAATATCCTATTCCATTTGATAGTTTATTTAATCAGAACAAATTCTATTATAAGTTTCCTTTAACAACTTTCCATTATTTTAAGACAATTCTATTTCATGTACATCAGTTTTCCTTTCAAAATTTCCTATTCCATTTGATAGGTTATTTAATCAGAACAATTCTATTTTCGGATTCCTATGCCTAGCTAATAAATTCAACTGTTTAATTCATAATTCCAACTCGAAATAGTCAAAATTGTATATTGGTAAGTGTATTATAAATTCCCTTCATATTTTTGGTGCAAAATTAAATTAGAATGTCATTATATCTGAAGGTAATTAAAGTTATGCAATAATGTTCCATTTTCAAAACACTCGAATTATTGATATTTATGCAAATAAGTTCCACAGTTAATTATAAAGTCAAAAGTTTTTCTAGTAAAAATCATTCAAGTTTTTAGGCATTAAAAGTCATTGTTAATTCACTTCTTATCATTCAGAATCATTGATAAAAGTCAGAAAGTTTTACGAGTCAAAATCACTCAAGTTTTTAGGCATTAAAATTCAAAGTTTAATCACACAAAGTCATGTTCATCATTTATATTCAAAATAAATCTTGTCACTATAGAGTACTTACATTTTGTCCATAAAACACAAAACTAATCTAATTTAATTCTTTTGATTACTTAGAGCCCGCACATAAATGTTGACGAATTTAATTGTTCTTTCTTTCAAAATTTTTCCGCTACTTTTTCAAAGACTGTTACCGAGGCAATACAAGAAACTTTCCGGACTGACACTTTAGGTACTGTAGATTTTAACTCAAACTGGACAGGACTGCGAACTCATCTCTCAACTGACAACTAACAACTAACTAACAACTGGCAACTAACTACTACTTCTAAAACCGCGGTATTTATATTAAATCGATCCCCCCGCAAAGTATTATTAATTATCCCCCAAATCGTCAACAGGCGGTCGTTTGCCTAGCAATCCGACAATTCCATTGGCCGACCTAATTATTATTAAAAATAATGATGCAATTTCCTTGAAATTGTTATCATTCTTAGTTAAAAAATCGAATAATTATGTCGCAATATCCTAATTTATCGAGGCCAATATATTTTCTCGGTTCAAGAATGCCATAAATCATTGGCCTCGCTCTTATAAGTTCATTGATTTGGGTGATGACACTGGGCTTGATGACGAAACACCTAATATAATATTAAACCTTAATTTGTTCCCTTTTCAATTTATTGATACGGATTTGGAGATACCGGAAATTCTGTTTTCGATTATTTGACCTTTATTAAATTTTTACAGTAAAGACATTGTGATTTATGGGTCTATGTTCTCGGAATATTACATCAGTATTTGGAAATTCCTGGATGAATATAGACTTTAATTTGCATTTCTAAACTGAAATACGTTTACATTTACCTACTTTCCGAAACAATCTGCACAATAATTATTATTAAAACTGAAATAACATCCTGTTTCCAGTGATATTCCTTTCGAAATCCACAACCATCTGCGTGTAAATCAACAAGGTCAATTTTTGCCGATACTATATCCAGATTTTCTCAACATGCGACTCAAAGACCTGATCGAAATCACACCCTCGACTCAAACTATGACTTTTACTTACGCATTCAATCCGATATCGTTGGGCAAAACCCGATTTTACATACAAATGGAGGCTACTTTGAAACAATTCATACAGCTGGGATTCACCGAAAAAGATTTGGACGAAGTCAAAGGAGTTTTCGGCGACACCAATTTGTATTTGTTGTGCGCTACAATGGCAATTGGCAGTATTCATGTAAATATTTACTTGTATTATAAAAATTGTATGGGTATTTTTGAAATTTGTTTGTAGCTCTTGTTGGACTTTTTATCATTCAAAAACGATGTCAGTTTTTGGAAAACTCAAAAATCTATGGCTGGACTATCGACGAAAACAGTCTTGTGGCGAGCTTTTTCTCAAGCAGTAGTATTTCTTTTCCTTTTAGATGAGGGCACGTCCTTGTTGGTACTTATACCCGCAGGAATAGCCACATTAATTGAGGTAATAAATAATTGATTTAAAAAATAATTTCTAAAATAACTAATGTAGATTTGGAAAGTTACCAAAGTGTGTAAAACACACATGACACTTTCCTGGAGCGGATTGAAATTTCAAAGAGATAAAACTGAGTCAGCTGCTGAAGCTGAAACTAGAAAATATGACGAGGAATGTATGAAGTATTTAAGCTATTTATTATATCCTTTGTGCTTGGGAGCTGCTATTTATTCACTTTTATATCAACCACATAAAAGGTACATACAAAAACAAAACTTACAATAAGTTATTAAAATTATAATATTTTTCTAGTTGGTATTCTTGGACAATCAACAACTTAGTGAATGGGGTTTACGCGTTCGGATTCCTCTTCATGCTACCCCAACTATTCATTAATTACCGCTTGAAATCTGTAGCAGCTTTACCATGGAGAGCATTCACTTACAGAGCTTTCAACACTTTTATAGATGATATTTTTGCATTTATCATTACAATGCCAACAGCCCATAGAGTAGCATGTTTGAGGGATGATGTGGTGTTTTTGGTTTATTTGTATCAGAGATGGTTGTATCCTGTGGATACGTCAAGAGTTGAAGATATAAGCGGAGAAGTGATTCCAGAATCGAAGGAAGTTGAGGAGAGTAAAAAAAAGAAGTAACTTTTACAATACATTCCAAAAAATAGATAGATACAATTACTTATTTATTTAAGAACATTTTTAATGTTGTTTTTTTTTTGGTTAAATGATTTATTTTATTTATTTTTCAGTTTTAAATAAAATGTCTTTATACATTTCGAATTTTGCTCTAAACAAGATTGAGTAATCGTCTAGTTGCTAATAATAAAATCATGAATGTTTTGTATCTTATACTTTATTTTATCCAGCGCAGTAGTAGGTACAACAAAATTCCATTCAACTAGGTAGGTAAGTACATTTTGTTTGAGTAGGTATAATTTATAATAATAGATTAATTTTTAGTTTTTAAGGTAGGTATACGTATTTTTATTATATAAAAAGATATGCATCAGTTGGAAACTAAAAATCAAAAGAAATTAGCTCCTTACCAGGCAAACCTTTTTAATTTTTTTGATTAATGTCTTTTCAAGGAAAACAAAGATTATTCTAAAATCACATTTATATAAGGTCATAACAACATAATGTTCCAAATAATATTACAGCACCATCAATTTGAGTCCAATTTTACTAAAAATCTATCAATTTAAACTGCTCTCAGTGATATTTGCTGACTCAGTAACAGCACCAACAGTCGTAAAAGGAAGTAGAGTAGTTATGAGGCGGGTGGTCAAATGGTTACCATAAATATCATGCGCGGTACTTGTGGCTGGAGTACCAGAAACAACTTGCTATTAAAAAAATATAATTACTTACACTTTACAAGATTTTATTAAATAATTATTTTACCGTATATCGCATAGGAGCACAAGGATGTTCATCTACAGGACCTAAAGCGTTTTCTATCGAGTAGGCTACCACTGAACCAGCAGCCAATCCGAACATGTACATTAAAGTCATCATATTGCCTAAAATATATTAAAAAAAATTATTGGGAAATATACAAAAAAATAAATCTATACCTGTAAGTTCTCTATGTCTATCGTCAACTTTAGTAGGCGCCTGTATCATAGGCACACTTCCTAAAATCCCATTAGTAAACCCAAGCATTACCGAATAAATGAACGCAGTAATTTCAGCGGAAAACCTAGGACTGGACCTCGGAGCTACACACATTATCATTAAGGGTATCAGTATTAGCCTCATTACAGAGCATTTGACTAGACGAGCTCCTGTCCAGCATCTAGCACTGCTGGCAATCATTTTCCCAATCAAATCGGAAGCGTTAAACAATGCCATCATTAGTATGGGCATCCACGAACCTAGAGTGCAACTGACAACCTCCGAGGCCACTCCTGGATATATACAGAGCGTAGCAAAGTATACTAAACATATAGAGATCATATATGGGTATGTGGCTTTCGTTACTTCCCATCTTGCATAGATTCCACCTAAGTATATTATAAAAATAACAACCAAATAATTATTGAAAATAAATTCTTACGTTTGAAAGCATTAATCCCAACTCCACTAGTACTAACGCTATGACTGCCTCTAACAACAACATCTTCGACCTTATAAGTTGGTACAGGTGCTGTAGGTTCGTAAGCAGGATTAGCAAAGCTCAATTGATTGCCTGTAGTAGGAGGTGGACTAGTTTGAATTTTCAAAATTCCGTATTGAGCGTCGTTGGTTTCGATTAGTCCAGCGTCTTCGGTGGGTTCCAACGTGATTCTAGTTTTAGCTCGTTCGCATAGGGCTATGTAAAACTGTATAAAATCGGAACGTCTTATCAGGTGATACATAGCAAAGCATGTTAGTACTGTGGACACTGAAACAGTAAAAAAGTAGACGGTACTGCCTCGTAGCTCGTTGACGATGAATTTCGTTATGACTCGGACTATTGAAGTGAATACTCCTGAGGTACTTTCACCTACCATGACTGCTTGTGTGTACTTTGGTGGTAGCATACTTGTGTATCCATAAAAACTAGATTGTTGTACTATAAAATTTTTGTTTAGGGATTTGTTTTATGATTCTAGTGAATTTTTCACCTGTACATCCTACAGATACAACTGCAACAGCTGCTAAGTTAACAGTATACGATGTAACTGTACCCCAAGCTTCCCACCAAACTTCGCAAACCACCACAAATATAAGGGTGATAAATGACATTATGTAACCTGGAATAATTAATTACCTATTTGATGTTGCGCTACTTACTTTGAAATATAATTCTTACCAAAATTTATTCTGGAATTTAAAGAAAAAGTTTCCACCAATAAGTTGTTAGTTAATACAGTTAAAAGTGCCACTACAATATACACTAAGGACATGTCAAACACTACCGGATAGTTATTGTATCTCATTTTGAAGTAATCCATTGCCATGATGAAGCTAAAAACAAAATTGCTGAATAGTTGTTTTTAATTGAGAAATGTTCTCACCTGTTATATGGTAGCAAAAACCCCATGCCACCAAGTACAAACGATAAATAAATAACGTTAAAAGAGTCCACTGGTGGGGAAATATTGCCATAAGCAGCTCTAGAACTGGAAAAACCATCGCTTTGCCTTTTTCTTGGACGGCCCACTAATTTGGCGTAGCCATGGGCGTCTTGGGTCACTTCTTCAACCATACTTTGGATATTTGTTGGCTTTGATAATACTGCACACTACATTTTTCGTTGAAATAAAGGATTGATTTGCATAGAAGTTTCTGAAATAGAATTTAGGAATAATTGGGTTCATCAGTGCAACTAATTCATAATAGGATTATACTTTTAAGGGCCAAAACGTTTTGTGGATATTTATTTTCACCTTTTAATCATGCAACTAATGAGACACTTACTATAGAAAATACCTTCAGCTTGCCCTAATAACACTTCATTTTCCAATTTGCTGTTTCGACTAAACGGTGTTTATATTTTCCCAAAAAATATACTGTAGGAATAGATTTGTCCCTTCAACCCTATAGTGACGTCATACAAATCAGGGCTTATTGATTATTAAGGGTGCGCATATGCCAGAGGCTGATACTTAAAATCCGATATTTAAATGTTTAGGTATATGGAATTTGTTGGTAAACTTTGAAAAAATTATAAATATTTCTTCTAAACTAAGAACCGATGATGAAATTTTGAAACATTTGCGTACCTAGTCAATTTGTATTAAAAATTGAGAATAAATTAATATTCACTAAAGAAGTGAGTATAGGTATATACCTTCTGATAATGGAATGAGGTCTGCAGGGTTTTAATCATTAATAAACAGTTCCAAGTAAAATAATGTCCTGAAAATAAGTGAATTGAAGAGCGATTTTCAGTCAAATTTACTCATTAGGATTTCGTTGAAAAACGATTTTGAATTGAATGAAAGTTGAATTGAAAGCGATTTTTTTAAACACCCACCCAAAACTAATAAATTATTGCGTATAATAAACATATTTTGGCAAAATTCGGTCCACCAGGCACAAAAATCGAAAAAAGAGTTTTTGTGAAAATCTGAATATTTTCACCCTAGTCTCGGGTACAAATGGTACCTACTGGAAGTTATAGACAGTACCAATATACACGTTTAGGAAGTCTCACTTGCCTTGCAAATTTTTTTGAGGGTGGTTTAAGGGGTTAAATCTAATAATAATTGCGATTTATCGGAAAAAGAGTTTTTGTGAAAATATGGACATTTCCACCCTAGTCTGGCATAACTAAGTGCTGGAAATTATAGGCATCAGTACCAACATACACACCGTCTAGGGTCTAGGTACCTAAAAAAACTTGCAAATAACTTTTGAGGTTGGTTTAGGGGGTTAAACTAATAATTAATAATAATTTCAATCTAGACCAACAACTGGCACGAATTTGAGTACCTACCTATTGTATCTCAAACTCTAGTTTCTTCCAGTATTTCTAAACAAATAACATGTTATGGCTGTAATAGGCCAGGTTACATAAAATCCAACTGTCTTTCTTGCTCTAAGACAGTCGTCTCACTAGACTTTTGTGCATTGAATGATTGTAAACCAAACCTTTCTCCACAGTCTCATCCTGTACTGTTAATTTCTGTATCAGGTTTTCAGGGACATGGCCTTATAGGCACAACTGCCGAACATCTTTATGCAAGGCTGTATATTAGAAAAAATGCGAATTTTTTTGAAAGTAGAAATAGGTGGCCGATGGAACCACAAAGAAATTAAATGTTCAAATTTTTAAGGTCAATGTACAGCTTATGTACTACAGGAGTATTCCTACGACTTTCTTGGCTTTATCTAACACTGACAGAACCTTGTTAGGCATAGATTTTCTCTAGAACGCCGACTTAGCTATGGATATGTTTCAGCAAAACTGGTATTTTGCCGAAAAGTATTTTTTGATGAAGCTGGAACACGATGTTCCAGTTAAAGTTGAAATACAATCCATAACATTATTGAGACCCAGATGAAGGCACGCTGTTAAGGCCTAATGAACACCAACTCATGTCGGATTTAATTGATGATTACCAAGATATTTTCGATCTAGGGAGAGAGCCAACTCCCTATGCTGAACAACCCATTGATACTAGTACGCATGCACCAACATCGGTTTCACCCTGTATGACCCCTGCTAATAAGGAGAAGTTTAAACAAGAGTTGGACGAACTCTGCTTGTAAATGGTGTCATGGAAGAGTGCGAGTCAGCCTGGTCTGCACCAGTAGTACCTACTAGGTAGCACACGACTATGCGTAGATTACCATGCTTTGAACCAAATATGTGTATTAGCCATTACCACGGATGGATCACCTACTTCATGGTACTAAAAAGACCTTTTACATGTCAATCTTGGATCTTTATTCAGGGTATCATCAAGTGAAAGTGCGTGAAATAGATCGCGATAAAACATCATTCGTTATTCCATTCGGGACTTTCCGATATTTGATTATGCCATTCGGGTTGCAGAACGCGCCTGCTACGTTCCAAAGACTGATCGATCGATTCCGGTAGTGGTCTTCCTGACATTCATTGGCATATTTGATCTATATTTTTATGCTGTCAGATTTGACTTTACTTGACCTAAAGTGTCCCAAGTAACATTTTTCCGTTTTCCAACGTTATCTGTACCTATCTTATTCAACGTCAGAATAGGTTCACATATTAGTCGTATTACGACTTCAAAGGGTCAGTCGCAGTAGAACGTCGGCACAACGATGCTTCGACCACGCAAGCCGCCTACGAAAATTAAAGTAGCTTACGAGAAATTTGCCAACGATGGTGTGACCTCCTTTCTCGACTACAATATTGAAAGTTATCTTTGGATATCGCTACAACGTCGCCATATGACCTATTATGGCTAGGTAAGCTTTGGTATAGTAGGCAACGTTGGTCGGACGTTGTCATTCGACTTAATTTAAATAGGTGGCACTAAGTTTTCCGCCAACGTTGGTTCGACGTCGGTAAATTTACCAAAATTGTATAAACTCTACACAAAATAACATAACCAAACTGCAGGTCGCTGCAGGTGAAAACTAGGGATTATTTATCTGACCAAAGATAGTCAGTTTCCGTGCAATTTTTGTCGCTTTAGACATCAGCTGTTTCGGGCGTTTCGGCCATTATTGGGTTCGACCGATATGGTTGCTATTTTAGATTAATTTTAATTTTACAGTGAACATATCGGCAAAATTAGTCTTTCATAAGTGTGTTCTTCACAAATGTTAATCAAATAGGAGCATCCCAACTATCTTTGAACCCATATTAAACAAAAAATTAAAATTGGAAAATTAAACAAAAATTGATATTTTTCTAAATTTAACTGATTTTTGGGGAGGAAAGTGTGGTTTTAATCCTACTTTAGTTACTTTTATGAAGAAAGTCACCTGCGTTTATGAATTATGATTCGAGGAACTTCTGAAATGCACTAAAAAGTTGTAAGAACTTAGATATATTATAAGTATTACAACGAAATAAAATAGTTGACGTCATTATGTGTTGTTATGTTCCCAAAAAAATAACCACATTTGGTAGAAAATAGGGTAAAATCTTTAGACCAATTTTCAACTGGTACAGTTTAGGTATGAATAATTAGATCTTCCTAATTTTTCAAGTCGGTAATGGTATAGCATTCTCAACGTCAAATTACGTAGTGTTTAGGTCCGCTTAAGGACTCAAAGTCGGCTTCCGACGTCGAATCGACCGAAATTTCATTCCCCATTTTAGTCGAATTTTGGTCGTCAGGAAATTCTACGGACATCGCATACCGACGTCAGGTAGAACATTTTTAACGTAATATTACGTCAAATGACGTCGGATTGTTACTTGGGGTATTTTCGGCCGGTTAAAGACAGTTACACGCGACTCGCGAGAAATGCACCTTTGCCAGGCAGCAACTTTAGATAGGTACCTAGGACATATGATTACCAGTAGCGGTATGCAAGTTGATCCAGAGAAGACTGCGGCCATAGACAGGATGTTGCCTCCACAAAATATCAAGCCGGTTCAGTCCTTCTTACAAAGTTGCTCTTGGTACAGACGATTTATTGACAAGTTTGCTGCCCTTAAGGGCCGGTTTCTCAATAGCGAGTCACCTCCGGGTTAGTTTTAACTCCAGGATAAGCATGTCTAGTTGCTATGTTTACCTTGGAGTTATGCTTAACTTGGGAGTGACCTGCTATTGAGAATCCGGCCCTAAGCAATCTTCTGAAGAAAACTTCGACATAGAAATGGGAATCTGAGGAAAAACAAGCTTATGAGACACTGAAAAATGCTTTAACAAGCGCACCAGTCTTTCAGCAAAATGATGGCTCTAAACCCTATAAGCTACGCACTGATACTACCTCATACGCTCGGGGGTGCTGTTTTGTTGCAGAGGGAGAGGGTGCTGAAGAACACCCAATAGAGTACGCAAGTAGATTATTAACATCGGCTGAACGGAATTACTCAACAACAGTGAAGCCTTTAGCTGTTGTGTGAAGCCTGAGCAAGTTTCGAGGATACTTAGATCATTCTTCAGTTATCGTTGCCACAAACCATCAACCCCTTAGCTTAAAAACGCCTGCAGGACGCCTAGCGCTTTCGGTTCTTTCAATAGAAAATTACAACTTAAAAATTGGAATATCTACCTGGAAAGCAAAATGTTCTGGCAGACATGCTTTCACGACCGTGAACATGCTAAAAATGCCGCAAGTGAAAAATGTTGCTATTCCGTCGATATACCAAAGCAGACGCTCGTTGAAGTAAGAACTGAACAATGCAGAGATCCAGACTAAAGAAAATTCTTGTTAGCTTTGAACAATAAGTAAATAGTGATGACTACGCACGATGGACGTCGACACGGTACATTGTGAGCAGTGGCGTTCTGTATAAATATGCTTATGGAGAAAGTGAAGAAGCACAGCTCGTAGTACCGACACATGAACGACAACCAGTGCTTTAAGAGCATCATATGATGCTCCCACAGCAGCACACTATGGCGCTGAACGAACATATCAATAAACACCATTTAAAGTAGGTATAGTACCTAAAAAGACTTGCAATGAGGGGGGTTTAAGGGGGTAAAACTATAATAATTGCGATTCATCGAAAAAAAGGGTTTTCGTGAACATATAGAAATTTCCACCCTATATAGTCTCGGGCACAACTGGTGCTGGAAGTTATAGGCAGTACCAAAATGCACCGTTAACGGTACCTAAAAAGACTTGCAAATAACTTTGAGCGGTGGTTTAAGGAGGTAAAACTAATAATTGCGATTCGTCGAAAGAAGGGTTTTTAGTGAAAATATGGATATTTCCACCCTGGTCTCGGGTATTAAATGGTACTGGAAGTTATAGACAGTACCAATATAGACCATTTAGAGGGAATCTCACTTGACTTGCAAATAATTTTGAGAGTGTTTTAAGGGGTTAAATTCGGCCTCCTCCTTCGGATCCGTGGTGTTGCTGCCTAACTCATAAATGCGATTCTGTCAGAAACCAATGAAGAAAACTTTGAAAGTGAGAACAGTGAACACTGCTCAGGCTTCAGGAACTGAAGTAGACTTGAAAACTATTTCAGAACTTTGGGTTCAGTTCAGAATAATATAAGTGCCATAAATGTAACAGCTTTATAAGCACCAGATTTTGCAGGCAAAGCAATGAAAAAATGCAGTCGTAAAGCCTGCTGGTCCTGCTGTACAAAAAATGAATTGTATCTTGGTTGCTTTTACATAAGTATTTTATATATGAAAAATTTTTGAAATTATTTTTTCCCACCATGACGGACTTTCTAGTGGCGCCATCTACTAGTCATTTGCACTAGCATTTCATTTGAATTTTTTCTAATCGTTTCCTAGAAGTACCTATTATTCTTTGAGAACTATTGTATTAATATAAGTTGAGATAAATGAATAAATACAAAAGTTATTAGAATTGATTTCATGTTTCATGTTTGGAGAAGATTTTAAAACAGGTATAAATGAAATCCCCTTTGGCTTTTTTGAATTTTGATAACATTGGTGACAGGCTGACAGGTGACAGTTCAACGATGGTTTGGTTCAATGATGGCAAAATTTTGCTAATTTTTTCCTTTCTGCAATTAAAAATTCATTAACAACCATCACCGGCAGCTTAATTCCATAGCCAACAGTGTTAATTACCAAGTTTCGACAAACATCCGGCCCCAGATTGTGTATTTGTGCTCGAAAACCCAGCAGCCAAACAGTGTACAATGGCCAGACACCATGTTCGGTCGTGGTTTTTTTCGTTTTATTGCGAAAACTGTGCACGAAAAACGCAGTAAGATGTAACCGAGGAATTCTAATTGTAAGCAAGCAGCCGAAATACATTTTAGGGTATAGTTATGGGGGCTAAACTAAGTACTACGAATGAGGGCTCGCAGAGCCCCAGAACAAGGGCCTTTTCTACTAGCAGCAGCACCGAAGTGGTTGCTTCTCCTGGTTTTAGGTTTATGAGATCGTTGGGAATGGAAAATGATAGACAACGTGCCAGGTAAGAGCTTTTTATTTGCCTGCAATCATCCATTTGTTAACATATTGTTAAAAACAAGCAATAAAATATGACGTGTATTTTCTTCAATAGATAAGCAACAGCAACCTCCTTATCAATTATTTAATATTTACAATAACATATTATTTTTGATTGTAATAAGTAAATGCTCGAGTAAATGTTTCTCAAGGAGCACAAAGGATCATGTACCAAAAATCAAAAGAAAAATAAACTCTTTGTGCATTTAAATTTGACTCAAGGTCTGTTTATACAAGAGCCCCAGTCAATGTCCCATTGCAATGTGCTTTGCATATGCAAGGGAATCTGATTTGAATGCAGATATTTTTTTTTTTGTCATATAATGCAAATAGAACTTGTTCAAGAATAAGCAGGCATTTATTGGGTGGTTTATGGGTATTGGGTACTTTCATAGCAGTTTAAGTACAAGGTTACTGCTAAAAGTTATATTTTCATTGTTGTCTGGAAGAGCATAGACTTCTGAGGGATTCCTACTCTATTTGCCAAAAATACGTACCTACTAACTTTTCATGACGAAGATAAGTACCTAATCCTATCAGTTAACCCATCAAATAATTTTGTTTATTTTCAGGATTAAAAGTATATTTTTTAAGTATTTGTGTCTGTCAGAGACAGTTACCTACCACAATGTGCTTTGACAAATATTTAAATTGATAGTTCATTGAGTTCATACATGGATTTGTTAATTTGGAGGGCAATGTATTATAAACACACATATTAAATTAGCTTATGCTTATAGGCAAATCAAATTTTAACAGAATTAACTAGGTATATTATGTTCCTAGTTGTAAATTTCCAAAATGGTATGACAAAACGTTGAAAGGCCTAAGAAGAAATATTGCTCATAAACAATTAAGGGTACAGTCCAGGGGTCAACCAATATGCTTACAAATGTACAATGATTTCCATATTTGGCAATCGCTGATCAATGAATCCCAAGAATTGCGACTGATTGTCGTGTTTCAGATATTTTTGTATGATTACCAGGTGATTTCTATTTTTTCTGGGGATTCCTATATCATTCCCAATTGATTACCTGCTGGGCTGGGGGGACTATGTAACGAATAGAGATCGTTATTTTTATCTCTATGGTACTTGCTGTCTTCTTCTCTCTTTTCGAAGTCAATAGAGAAAGGAAATCAATAGAGATAGAGAAAATATCCCTATTCGTTACATAGTCCCCCAGCTGATTCCCCTAATGATTTCCTAGAATCATCCGATTTTCAGCTGATTTTATTACGAAAACGATGTCTAATTGTTAAGCTTCGCATTGATATGACCAAAATAAACAGTCTTTTCTCTTTCCACTGAAAAATTGGCAACATCTGTTATCTGTCAAAAATAATGGATATTTGTTTGATTTCCCTAGGATGTTCATTTGAATCAGAGACATCTTCAGTTAGGGTTTCACTCATCAAACTTATTTCTGATTCTGATCCAGATGCGCTATCATCTCTGCTTCTCGCCTAGTATTTATTCTACTTTCCCCTTTCAAGTTCTTAGAGCCTTGAATTCCTGACTTTTTCTTTTGTGTCTTTTTCAGGGACATTCCCATAGCTCCCAAAACTCGATAAACAAACGTCCCTGCTTCTCTGAAAACAACCAAATTCAAGTTGAGCTCATGGAGTCCTAGGAGATTTCTAGCAATTCTCAGGGACTCCTAAGTGATTTCCATGTATTCCTGATTGATTACTATCTTATTCCAAAAAAAAATGTACAATGATTTCCACTCGAGTTTCCACTAGTAGTTTACCATAATAATTACAAACTTTGGGGTTTTTTGAATTTTATTAGTAAGAAAGGTTTCTCCTTGAAGGTAGCTCCTCGAGTAGCTCCCTTATGATTTGTATTTTTGAAAACTTTGAAAGGTCAGAACTTTTTTTTCTATTATAGATAGAAAGCTGCAATTTCAAGCAATTCTTATTCCAGTAGAGGACTACAATCTCTGAAAATTTCAGCTCATTTGGACTTACAGTTCCAGAAATAAAATCGTGTTAAACAATTTGGGGTGATTTATCAATTTTTCAAATTTTCTGTGTGCATTTTTTCATAGAATTCCGCTCCAAATATCAAAATAATTTAGTGCATGGAGTTTGGCGGATCCCAAAGGACCATTAGGATACAAATTCTCAACAAAAAAAAATTGAAATTTCATCGTTTTAGTAAGAAGCTCCCCAAGTAGCTCCCTTATTATTTAGATTTTGAAAAACTCTGAAAGGTCATAACTTTTTTTCTATTATAGATACAAAGCTGAAATTTTTAGCGATTTTCATTCCAGTAGAGGACTACAATCCCTGAAAATTTCAGCTCATTTGGACTTATAGTTCCAGCAATAAAATCCTGTTAAGAAATTTAAGGTGGTTTATCAATTTTTCAATTTTTCTGAGTGCCTTTTTTCATAGAATTCGGCTCCAAATCTCAGAATAATTTACTAGACTTATGGAGTCTGGGGGATCTCAAAGGACCATTGGGACACAATATCTCAACAAAAAAAAAAAATTGTAATTTCATCGTTTTAGTAAGAAGGTAGCTATTACCTTCTGATTTAGATTTTGGATAACTTTGAAAGAAAAAAAGTTATGACTTTTTTTCTATTATAAATAGAAAGTTGAAATTTTCAGCGATTCTAATTCCAGAAGAGGACTACAATTCCTGAAAATTTCAGGTCATTTGGACTTAAGTTCCAGAAATAAAATCGTGTTAAGCAATTTGGGGTGATTTGTCAATTTTTCAATTTTTCTGAGTGCCTTTTTCCATAGAATTCGGCTCCAAATATCAAAATAATTTAGTGTATGGAGTTTGAGGGATCCCAAAGGACCATTAGGACACAAAATCTCAACAAAAAAAAAATTGAAATTTCATCGTTTTAGTAAGAAGCTCGGTAAGAAGGTAGCTTATGATTTAGATTTTGGAAAACTTTGAATGGTCAAATTCTACTACAATTCCTGAAAATTTCAGTTCATTTGGACCTATAGTTCCAGAAATAAAATTGTGTCAAGCAATTTGAGTTGATTTATCAATTTTTCTGAGTGCCATTTTTCCTAGAATCCGGCACCAAATCTCAGAATAATTTAGTGTATGGAGTTTGGGGAGGCCCGAATGATTATTTAATATTTAGATACAAAATCTCAATATGAAAAAATTTGAAGTATCACCATTTGAGTACTAAGGTAGCCTTGGGTCCCTGATATGCCCAATACAATCACAAATTGCCAGCAATGTATAAAATTTTCAGGAACTAAAAAGGTTAAGAAACATTGCCAATACATATTTCTACTATTTACTAAATTTATAAATTGTAAAATAAACATTTATTTGAACCTTTTCAAGGTCTCTCTCCAGCGTTCCAGACCTCCACGGTACTTCGGCCAGCGATTCCCATCACACAGAAAACGGTGGTCCCAATTTAGGAGGCGAAGGCTCAATCGCTGGTAGTCCAGGAGCTGATACAGACAGTAGCGCAGGAGAAGAAGGGGCTCAAGGCGGTCTAATAGGACACTCCGCAGCGGCCGCTTTAACTAGAGTTTATGCCGCTCATTCTTTGCCTGGCCACATATGGAGTCTGAACGGTGAGAGGAATTTTGAAATTACCAATAACTTCATCAATCTGGTAGACAAACATATAATACATAATTACATAAGATAACTAGGTAATTGATTTATTTATTTTTGTTTATCCAATGAGTCAAATTTTATTTGAGTTTAGTTTAGATAATCACCAGGATAAAAATTTAGGGTCAATAACTATTGCTTCATTTTATTATTTATTGGGTTTATTTTTATATGAGTTTGGCTGAAGTCCAATTTTAATTCTGCCATCGCAAATTAGACTGATGAAAATGTCAATTGATTTAAGAGTACCAACTCAAGAGAGACTAGGTATCTTTGTAGTAGAGATGTGTATATATTTTGTAAGTATGTAATTGAATCTCATTTTGGCTTGAAAAATTAAGGATTATTATCCTATCCCAAACTATCAAAGTTATGGAAATATAAGTTCCAGTTGTTACTTTATTTCATTCACAACAACCATACCTAAAATGTAAGTAATGTTGACATTGATAGTTTTGCAAGTGTGTACCTATTTTCCTACTCACTTTTGCTTCTGAAGTAATTTACACTGGTCACTGAAGCTTTGAAATCGTCCAAACAGTAGCTTCAAATAGTTCAGAGTGACTGAGAATCCAAAATCGCTTTTGCAATTACTAACAAGTTCAAAGTAAGAAGTCTAAAGCAACTTCCAGAGAATCCAAATTCCTACAGTATTTAGAAACTAGCTTCAAAATTCAGAGTTGCTTTCAAAATTTCTAAAACCTTTTTAAAAGCATCTGAAGTAATTTTCAAACTAAGAAATCATCCAAACACTAGGCCCAATGAGTGCAAAGTGGCTTTAAAGCAAAGCTCGAAGCAAAGTTACTTTTAAAGTTTCTAAAGCAATTTCTAACTAATCTGAAATCAAATTGTTGAAACATTATCCATTAATGACTTGAAAGTAACTTTAAAAGCTTCTAAAAACAACTTCCAAACTATTTGAATTAAGTACCTACTTTTCCATTTTTCACTTTTCAATGTTCTCTTATAGAACAAATATTTGCTTGAAAGTGTAAAAGCCTCAGCCGTCTGATATGTTATAAATAGGAAAACTAAACATTAATCATTAATGGAATAAAAACCCATGCCCATGTGCCTGAACTTTGATGTACTTAGGCATTTTTTTTTTCCAAATTCGTTGGAGAATTTAAAACATAAGTACTAAAGACTTATTTTTGTTTTTTCGCATTAAGCACCAATTTCCTGTATTTACTTGTTTCAACTTAATTTTTTGACATATATAATCAAACATTTCTAGGCCTCTTAATAAGTGATAAAATGTTATTTACACCTGCCTCCTTGTGATCGATAAAGTGCTATTTTTCGCTGACTGATAACCGAAATCCAATCGGTTTTTTTGTTTGAATTCTCACAGTACTAGGTGGTACCTGATATTTGCCCAGTTCCTACTCACACAGCTGACGCGCATCTTTACACAAACTCGAAAAACAGATAAATTTAATCGTTCGACGGCAAACATTCTAATATATAATTCAGATTTCTCAGAGAATGGTTTCTTGAACTTGATAATCATTATCCGTTTAACACCAAAGTACGCAAAGTGCCGAGCGACTGAACTCTGATAATTTATTAATAAGACGCGTTTCAAACTAGTTTTCAGTTTGTTAATTTGCCGAGCAGGGATCGTTGCGCAAAGTGAGATTATTTTTTTTTTTTCAAATATAGACGGTGCATCGCCGTCGAATGCAGTGATTATTTGATCATTGAGTGGTATATAAAGTGATTTTTTTTTTCAATCAAAATGGGCTTGAGTTTATCTTCAAATCATCATGGACATCATCACGCATCGAAACCGAAAAGGGCTTTGGATCTTATTTGGAGAGACGAATTAGTTGTCAGTGATAAAGGTACAAAATTTCAAAAAGTATTACATATTTCCTTATTCTTATATCCTTGACCCACATTGATTAAATTTTTTATTTTCTAATTTCTTTAAAATTGATCAAGATATAAATCTTGGTTATTTTTGGCACGAAAATGTCCCATTACTTTTAGCCTATAGTGGTGGTCCAATCAAAAAAGATATTCCAGTTAATATGAATGTGATTTTATCGCCCTGTTTGTCATAAATTGTGTTTGATAAAGACACAATGACAAAAGTTTTATATGGAAATTAAATTGAAATCCCAGCTGTAAATCTTTTGTCAACACTTATAACTTGTTTATTTTCTGAGTGTATGTTGCAACAAGAAAGATATTGAGCTTACGCTCTATTAATAACTCCTAATATGTGTTTAAATCAACATCATTGACCTTTGCAAAGGGAAACTCATAACTTGTGATGAAGAATGTCTACTACCTCTAATAATGTCACAAGAAGTTACTTTATGACCTTTTACAGACAGGTTGTTTTTATGGGACGTTACATCAAAAACAAAGATAAGGTTTCAAATTAGACGTACCTCAAACGTCTCAGATAAATAAAATGTTTGTTTATCAACATGTTTTAATTAAATGATTGGTAGGTTTTTACCTATGACGCGTTTTAATTAAACGTTTTTGCTTTTTCTCAAAATCCAAAGGTTAATCCTGGGTGCCTAGCTACCGTTGCTGTCGCTATAGTCACGTCCAATTACTATACGCCGGTCCTGGGTTTCGATTCTCCGATAGTAATATCCAGTATCAGTCGCGAGGAAATTGTTTGCATGAGGCCCTCATAAAGGGTTTTTTTTATTAGATTTCTTAATTAATTATTATGGGCGTTGCAATTGGTTCTTGTCTACCGGAAGATGACATCGAAACCGGTACTCCGTTTCATCGTGTTGTTTATGGTAAATACTATTTATCAATTTTGATTAATCATAGTCGGAAATCTACAGGTGTTTTGTGTGTCTGAAGGCCTGTATTTCTCAACAATTTCTATCTATTATTGCACAACCAAGGACATCTTTTATGTTTATTTAATGGGTTTTTTTTTTTTCATGTGATAACAGATAATTTTCTCAACAAGTTATTGAAATTTAGAACCAGGAAACAAGTTTTTCAATTTTTGCTGCATTCGAGATAGAAAAATTAAACCTATAAGAAAAAGACTTTGTATACAAGTAATTACCTATCATCCAAATTACATCGTTTGACATTGAACTAGTCCTCAATAAATAAATGATAAACGGAAAGTAAAAATCAATGAAAAGGTGCCGTTAGAAAAGTGGATAATTTAGTTTCGATAATTTTTTCTCAGGGGGTATTTGTAATAATATCAGAAAGGCAAAAAACTTGAACTCTGTACTTACATAATTGAGTCTTTAAATAAAATCATAGATAATTAGCACATTTCTAAGGCTGATAATTAATTATTATCACTTAAAAATGACGCAAGTGAAGTATTTAGAATCATTTTTATTTAATTAGTTTATACATTATGATAAATTTACACAGAGTTGTTTATTTCAGGTATAAAATGTCCAGTTTGCAGCAAATTTGTGGTTCCGGACGATATAGAGTGCCATCTTGTCATGTGCCTGACGAAACCTCGCCTTTCTTACAACGGTATGTAACAATTTTGTTTTTGAAGGGTTGAAGTCAAAGTCGAAAAATGCTGTTGTTGACAAAGCTAAACAATAGGAGAGCCACTTATAAATAACTATTGCTTTGAAGTGCCAACGAATACTGAGGTCATTCATTACATCATCGAAAACTCGGCATACACAGTCAAAGTACTAAAAATTGAAAAGTTGTTGAAGTTCAGAGTAACTATGCAACCTTAAATAGGTGGGTATAGAATTGGTTTTGGACCTCTGTAGCTGAGATGTTAGGTAATTTTTTAACATAGGAAAATATGAAAAATTAGGAGTCTTGTTTTGAATCAAGTATATCAAAGTTGGGTATGGGTATTTCCAACAAATCTTACTAGTGGTAGAAAGATGTACCATCTAAGGACATACCAGCAAGAATCTCATTATGGGAAAGTTGATTTTTTCAAGGGAAGGAATTCTTATTGAATCTTTTACTGATTATAATAGTAGTAAATTTAAGATTTTTTTCAAAACAACGTTGAATTTTCAATTTACCCAAAGTAAGGTTGAAGCAACAATTTTTGGGTATTTTTGGTTAATTGAAAATGTTCAACTTTGCGGCTGAATTGCTTAGAAAGTATTTGAGGTATCAAAGTTAATTTAGCACAGGTTTATAGAGAATTTGATGCTCTTTTTAACAGTGTATAATTTATTTTGATTTGCTCGAATTTCAATGAAAATATTGACAATTTTTCCTAACATTGTCAGGATTTTTTAAAAAATTGAGATTTTCTTTTTTGATTTTTTTTTCTGTTCAAATTGGTCATTTGCAAATGATGTTAATGTTTTTTTCAACCAATTTCAACCCGCTCTATCGATTGGAAAAGTCAAAATTCCAAAAATATGAAAAATAAAAATTTAGATTTTTTCCAAGGGTATCCCCTTTAGATTCTTATTTTAAAATCTTTATGCCTCAATCTCTTGAAATCCATTAGAGATATTGAATCAAAATTTTAAGGAATTGTAGCTCCTATTAAACTCTATTGGAAAACTGTTTTGGGAAATATTTTCATGTTTATAGTTTTTGCGCAAATCGAGTTTGAAATTTTTGACTAAATTTCGACTAAAATTCAACTTTGAGACTCAATTGCTCAAAAACTATTTGGGTTATTAAACTCAATCTGACACAGATTTATAGAGAATTTAATGCTCTTTCTGAAAGAGTATAATTTATTTTGATTTGTTCAAATTTTAAGGGAAATATTGACAATTTTTCTCAACCTTGTCATGATTCAAAAAAAAATTCAGGACCAAAAAATTACATTTTCTTTTTGATTTTTTTTCTCTTCAAATTGGTCATTTGCAAATGATATTACGGTTTTTTTCGATTAATTTTAACCGGCTCTATCGATTGGAAAAGTCAAAGTTCCAAAAATACACTCATCAAAAAAGTCTAGGGAACAAGAAATATTCGTCTTTTAATTTTTAGACAGAATAACTTTTTTTAAAAAGATACCAGATGGGTATTTGTTGAACAAATCTTGTAAAATTTATCATACCTGCTTTTCCAGCAGGCTTTAACAAAATTTAAAAATCTTTTAAAAGTATATTTTGTTCAATTTATAAATGTATTCAGTTGCAGCTTGTTCCCTAGACTATTTTGATGTGTGTATAAAAGATAAAAATTTCGATTTTTTCAAAGGGTACCCCTTGTACCCTCTTTGGATTCTTATTTCAAAATCTTTATGCCTCAATCTCCTAAAATCCAGCTCAGGAAAAACTAAAAACGATTTTGCAACCAGAAATTGCGTGGTCTTGCCTCAAATTTAACTGAACCTGTTTCTCTTCCCTGTATCTCTTATAGTTACCGAGATCCCCACACTTAATCGCGAATTTGTAACAATCTGTATAGCTTTGGAAAGGAAAATATTTAGAATAAGGGACGTAAGATTTTATGAATAATATTTTAGAAGAATATGTATTGGGGAAAAACCAAAATCAAAACTAATATACCTACGGAATCCAGAATTCATCATGATTATAGGAGAAGTAATGAATTCAGGAACAAGAGTTCAAGAAAAGACAGAACTTGACAAAGAAAAAAGGCTGAAAAAAGACTTAACAATTACTAAAATATGATGATGTAACAAAATTCCCTAAACCCCACGCCACTGATCGGCTGGTCCCCTGTATGATGTCAACTTGATATACGGCCTGTCAACAACGAGATGTCAATGTTTATAGTGCAATAACGCAAATTTCATTCCGTTTTCTCTATTAATACAAGACCAATATACAGTAATCAGTTTTCTCTATCGGTTCTCGTTTAATTCTTCCCGTGTACTCAACTTCCCTAAGAATTATCTTACAAATTGGCGCCCAACGTGGGGCCAAGGTGAGTTTCAAGACTGGTAGACTTACAATGAGAATTTTACACAGAATCATTTCAAAATCCTATAACAAACAAAGAATCAGTAACATCAGGTCAGTCATGATTGACTGAACAAGCATCAAAAATGAAGTTAACATAAAGTAATCAGATAAAGATCTTTGTATAGATTGCAAAAGGCACCAAATTAATGTCAAACTAAGAAATTCCATTAATTTGCTGATTTTTTGACTTTATACAAAAGATTACACTCTCTTCAACTAAGGATGTTCAGTCAATTTCTAGGAAAGTCATCAAAGAAATCACAAAAGTCAAGAAACAAGTTTATGCAGACGTAGATTGGGCAGGTTAAATTTAGAAAAAAAATTTTGGGAAGTAAACAAAATACTTGGGCAGGATTTAAAAATAATTCGGTTCAGAATGTGTTTATGATTATTTTTTGGCAATGTATAAATAAGTTTTAATCCAGACATTTTTTTATCTAATATTCCAGAAGACATATTAACAGACGACAAAGGCGAATGCGTAATTTGCCTGGAAGAGCTCAATCAAGGAGATGTGATTGCTAGGTTGCCATGTCTATGTATATATCATAAATCGTAAGTCAACAATTTTTTTAAAAAATTCAACTAAACTTACGAATTTGCTAGGTGTATAGACCAATGGTTTGAAGTGAACCGATCCTGTCCGGAACACCCTGGAGACTAGCAACAACAAAACTTGTGAGGAGTGAATGGTTGTAATATAAAATTTGTACATACTGTGTAAAATAGGTATTGACTAGTACGATAAAGGAACCAGACTGCTATAATTATTATGTGAGGAACTCTAATCATTAGGATTCATTTTTAATAATGGGTAATTTAAGTGTACTTTGAAAAACAATTATCTAATTTTTTTTTGAATAAGTGCGCGGCCCCGTAAGAATTGGATGGTAAGAGAAAGGCTCTGAGTCACAGATGTAAAAAAAAAATACCAAAGATTTGTTTGTTAATTAATTATTCTTGACTTTTAAGCTTGATAAATAAATACCTATTTGACCAATGATATCTAAACTTAGAGTCAAAAGTTACAATTACTTAGTGAGATCTAAATTAGGGTGCTATTACGTTGGGGGTTTTGTTAAGGTTGAATACGGGCGCCCAATTGAAAGTGTAGCGTTTTCTTTTTTTCGTTTGCCTACTACTGTGGTGGTGCCATATTTTATAATAAAAAAAAAAATGTTATTACTACCCCTCTTTAATGTGTATGATATAGTTATTAGTTTAAAAAAATAAAAAGTGATATGTTTACAATGATTTGTATATTTTTTGGTTTCAGTTAGAGCGCCATCTGTTAAGTCTTTTCTATTCTTTTTCCAATCAATAAAACTCAGTTGAATCTATATAGTATTCGCTAGAGTATACTAGATGGCCAAACTGGTTGAATAAAGGCCATGAGAGAGTAAAATACTTAGTAGTTTTCTTACCAGGAATATTTTTTTCAAATGCCTACGACCAACTTAATGAAAGTTCAATTTTTTTCAAATTAAAGTCCGAAATAAACAGCAATATAAACTTGAAACGATGGTGTAGCGCAACTAAGGGCGTAATAAATCAAAACGGAGAAAAGGCACTCTCAGGGTGACAAAGACTGAACGAACTTTTATTAAATTTTCTGCCCTGTTTTTTAGAAAAGAATAAAAATGTCTCTCGCTGGGAGGAGAATTTGCTTCAAGGGGCTCCTGGAATCTTTTTTCAATTTGTTGTTTTATAATAATACATCCCTATTTGTGTTATCAATATGGCCAGAAATTCCATTAAAAAAAAAAGCAATTCTCTTTTAGGTCACATATCATTCGGATATGACAGACTATATATGTTCTCTGGAGAGGATGATATTACCCAAAAATATTATATTAGGCCTTATGTAAATCATTTCCACATGTCTAGTTTTCCTGAGTTTTATTTTCGTGACACTCCAAATGGAAACTGTAGAGCAAATCTACATAATGTCTTATAGTTGTCTACCTCTGATTTTCATATGAGATTCATATAATATTCCTTTTGGGGGTTTTCAGAGGTGAACATAATAAAAATCCGGCTTATGATTTCCGGTCTTACTGTGAGACTTTTTGAAAAATGCAATACACATTACTTGGGACAAAAGAATGGATAAGTTGATCAAATGAATGAAATAGGGGCCTAATGTCTATATGTCTAAATGGCAAAAACTGGTCTTTCCTCGTGTTCTCAACCTCTAGATCTGCGCACACCATGGGAAATAAAGCGTTGTTGGAACAGGAAACCAGGTGCTAGTTGCTGACTTACTGTGAAGAAATTATATAAAAAAGTATCAATTTATGATAGAAATAGTGATTTTGTTCGATTTCTGGTTGTTGAACAACTTGTGGAAAATATAACTGATAATAATTTTGAGTTAGTTCATCCTGAGAAGTTTCACTTGAAAAGGTAACTGCCTTTTTGGGAACCAATGTAGTTTGTAATTGATCTATATATCTTTTTAGAGAATAGACATCATCTATTAGTTCTATACTTGATAGTTTAGTAATCCAAACTTTTTTGTGATGGTTCCAAATTTCTATAATATCTTGTTTGCTTCATAAAATCTAGCTTGGACTCTTTCTCTCACGCTTAAATTTCGAATTTTCTGTGTTTGTTCTTCTGATTTCAAATGCTTATGTGGTCGAATTGCATCAAGCTTGATTCTGATGTTTCTTTTTAAATATAATGTCTTTATCGATATTTTTCCAGTAAGAATAATTGTTTCATCTTCGTAATGCCTATGTGAGTGTGATGAAGTTCTGAGAGAACAAGATATTGCAGCGATTTTGGGATAACAATTTTTTGACGTTTAAATAGGATGTCATCTTCTAGAAGAGCATAGTCAGTTTCAGTTGTATGACTACCTGACTTCTGGATATCATTTAATTTTTGACAATTCTGCATCATCTTCCGTAGCAATTCGAATGCTATCGTAGGTTAAATCATAGCTGGATATTTGTGTAATCGATGCATGGTAAAGTTGATTGACTTCTGGCAATCTGCATTTCTATGATCGGATGCTTTCCGGTATTCGTAGTCACAACCAGATAAAAATGATGCATATCTGAGAAGTCTGGCAGAGAAGTCATGGCTGGTAGCTTTGAATTTTGATGAAAAATTCTAGTATAAGTAATGAGTTTGAATTTTTTCTAAGTACATAAAGAAATGACTTGCAGAGAACATAATAGTGTAGTGACGCGGAAATAAACCACCAGTAAAACAATTAAAGGTTCTGATTATTCTAAACAACTGAAGACCTAAGATCCAACTACCGAAAATTAATCAAGAATAACTAGAACCAAACAGCCATCCCAGGAGAGATCATGACTTAGGCAGCACAACCAGAAACTTCAACTAAAAATTATCTGAACATCGATATCCAGAAATTATTGAAAGCCGATACCCTATATTGACTAATACATTGGAATGTGAATAAGGCAAAAGTTCATGGACCTTTTTTTTTAAGTGCTTTCAACAATTAACATTCCAAAGGAGCCGAAAAATGTCTAAAAGGATCAATAAATCATGCACGAGCCTATATGATGATACCCACTTAACAAACCACTTAGCGACGCTCTTGATAATTAATTAAAAGGGGACCAAATACATACACTAATTAATCGGTTGATTCAACCACGGAAAATCGAGGTCAGAAAAAATAAAGAAATTCAAGACAATGGAGGGACCAATGATATAAAAGAGTAACTTTGGCAGGAGAAAATCAGTGTTCGAGAAAGAGCAAGTAAACCGGCAGAACTACGGCGTGAAGGCCTAGTGCCGGTTGAGTAATCAAGAAACAAGTAGTAATCGAGAATCGAGAGACCTGTGTTCAGAAAGTCAGAACTACGGCGTGAAAGAGTTGTCGAATTAACCGAGAAAAGAAGCACGACGTGAAATAACAGCGCGAAAATATTCGAGTTTTTTATTAAGTGTTCATAATTAAAGTAAATTCCTTCGACCAATAAGATTTCCATGTAATTAGGTTGGGCCAGCAGTAAATATATTATTGTTAAATGTAAGTAGAGTTTTTTTATGTTCAGCCAGAAATTGTGAAGGCAAGAGTGTGAATCGAGTCAAACTGTAATTAAAATTTTTTATTTGGAATCCTATAAATTTTCCTGCTTAACAGACAGAAAATCTAACAATTTTATTGTAAGATTATTTATTACCGACGCCTGTTATTCAATAACAAGCATTATTTATCGACTTTATTTTAATTGACCACGATATTTCTGTGTTTTACTCTCCACCCGTAAATAGGACCTATTTTGAACTGTGTCTCCACTCAGAAACTAAAGTCACCGCTCGCCAATTTAACATCTTGCCAAGTTTCTCAAGTTGGGGTTTCACAATAGCAAGAGCTTCTCGATCTAATTGACTATAGTTTTGTTCGCTTGAAATTAAAAATCTCGATGCAAAAGCAATGGGCTTTTCTATACCATTAATTTCATGTAAAAGAACTCCTGCAATACCAGTTGGACTAGTGTTACAGGCTAAAGTCAATGGTAAATGTTGATTGAAAGGAGTTAAAACCTGGTCACTGGCAATTTCTTGTTTTAGTCTAATAAACGCTGATTCACATTTGAATTTTGTGTTTTTCTTCAAAAGTTTACGTAATGGATATGTTTTACTTGATGTATCTGGAATAAACCTACTATAATAAGTAACCATACCAAGAAATTTTTGAACACCGTCTATATCAGGTGGCCTTGCCATGTCTAAAATTGATTTTACTTTCTTCAAAGACTTTGAAATTTGGTTATGACTGATAACATGTCCTGAATATTCAATTTCTGTATCAAGAAATGCACATTTCTTACGGTTAAGATGGAGGTCAAAATTTTTGAGTCTTTGAAGGTAAGCATATGGGTTTTATTGGCATTCTTCTCTGGTTAATCCATGTACGATAATGTCATGAAAATAAGAATGAGTATTTGATAAGCTTCTCAATGCATAGACGAACTCCGCCATGAGGTTTTGGAATGACAACCAAAGGTGAACCCCAGTCACTATGGTTTAATTTTGAAATTATTCCATTGGCTTCTAAGCTATCTAGTTTTTATTCAACTTTTTCTTTAAGAGTGTAGGGAATATCTTTTTCTTTGACGAAAACTGGTTTTGAATTTTTGCGCAGGTGTAAATAGACCTTGAAATTGGGTACTAATCCAATTCTTTCTTCAAAAATGTATGGAAATTTCCTGATCAATTTATCTTTAGTAACTGGCATGTTTTCGATTTTTTTTTGTTGGATTTGTTCCAATTGAAAAAATGCTATCATCGATTTGATGGAGGTTGATTCCCACATGTCTAATCCATGCACGTCCTAATAAAGGTTCCTAATTATCCGGAACAGCATAAAATTCTTCAGTCGATGTTTTGTTTGTAACGGTGGTCTTAGCTTTTCCAATTGGATAAAACACGTTTTTGGAGTAAGATCTAAACAAAATATCAGATTTCTCCAAGATAGTTTCCAGTGGAGTTTTGATGTTGTTTGCTGTAGAGATTGAAGCTCAATTTTAACAGTAATTAGTGGAGTTAGAATATTTTCAATTTTTGTTGCTGTTGAAGTTCTATCATTCAATGTGGGAAACTGATTAGGGAATTTTCCAAAGTAGATTTTTGTAGACTCTTCAAGTCTATTTCGCTTAAATTTTGATCAATAAGCGAATGTTTTTATTTGAGGTATCAAGCTTCTTCTACGTCTGGCGTTATTGTTTCGATTTTGCATTGGTTTTCTGCGACATCGTGTGCTTGGTGGAGCTGTTGTAGATGAACTTGTAGATCACAAAGATGTTGTAGATTTGCGGGTAAAAGTTTCACTTTTGAATGGATAATGGCTTTGTAATAATCGGGGAAAATAGACCCGTAAATTACAATGTCTTTACTGTAAAAATTAAATGTAATCGAATAATCAAAAACTGAATTTCCTGTATTTCAAATCAGTATCAACAAATTGACGTTGACCCCAAATACGTTCAAAATTATATTATTTCGTCACCAAGCCTGTGTCGTCATCTAAAATCCATATGAATATTAAAAGCGAGGCCAAAGTAATTAAATCGGTGATTTATGACTCACGTGTGTCGGTCTTCTCTGTGTTGTCCTCACATTCTGAAATAAAATTGTTAACCCCGATAAACCAGGAAATTGCGACATAATTATTCGGTAAAAATTAAATATAATCAAATAATCAAACACGGAATTTCCGGTATTTCAAATCAGTATCGATAAATTGAAAATAAAACAAATTAGCCTGACACCAAATTAAATTAAAATATTTATATAGGTTAAAAAATTCTATTATTTA